CCCCCCCCCCCCCCCCCCCCGATCTGTTTTTCAGAGTCTCTGCTCCTCTGCACCTGATAGGACGACACAACACGATGTCACACTTCACAGATAAGACGCGGTTCAGATGATGAATGAACCAAAAGACGACACAAAGACCGTGACGAAACAGAAGCCGACGCCGCAGCTCACCTCAGGTCGGGGGGCCGTCACTGAGCCGGGACAAGTGAAGGTCACAAACTCATGACATCGCCTGTGGACCACAAAACTGCAAACTGAGAGCAAACAACAAGGAGAACGTTGAGAAACAAAAATCTTCCTCACTGATGAATGAAAGAAACAGAAACAGCAGGATTTCACAGACCTTGACACTGGAAGCCCTGTTTGCCGAGACCCCTGAGGAGAAAAGACAGAATCAGGACGGAAACAGAACAGAACCTGGTCAGTCTGGGTGGTAGAACCTGGTCAGTCTGGGAGGTAGAACCTGGTCAGTCTGGGTGGTAGAACCTGGTCAGTCTGGGTGGTAGAACCAGGACAGTCTGGGTGGTAGAACCTGGTCAGTCTGGGAGGTAGAACCTGGTCAGAAGAACATTCTTCTCTTCTGTTTGTTGAGCTGCACCGTTGGCTTCAGTCCAGTGTCTCCTCAGAACTTTAATTAAATAATTAAGGGCATTGATTGACCAAACAGTCCACTCAGCAGCTCACCTGCTGTGAATCAAGTTCTGATTAGGTGATTACGTCAGAGCGAGCAGCTCCACAGGGTCAGTGCCGACCAATCGGCTCACCGTCTGTCTCAGTAATCATTAAGAAAGCACTCTCTGGGGCTAATCTCATCTCTGCTCATCATTCAACTTTGCTCTGCCGCAGTGTGCAATTGAGGTCAGTTGTGTATTTTGACCAGCAGAGGGCGGTAGAGAGCTTTAAAAAAGCATTAAAAAAGAAGCAAAAAACCTTTTCACTGGATGCAAATCACAGGGAGTAGAAAGCAGCTGCAGTGTAGTTCTGTTAACACCAACTGTAAGGATCAGAACACGGGGAACAGCCTGTGTGGAACATTAGAACTGGAGACACCAGAGGAGACCTTCTCATGGGGGTGGGGTGGGGCTCTGTAGACAGATGATGATGATGATACTCATTAACACATCCATGTAGAATAATTGGGAGATTTCCATCAACAACATCAAAGTTAGCTGAAGCCCAGTTTGAATCCTTCCCACTGGAGGTTTGGTCCAGTTTGATCCAGTGAAGCACCGCAATTAAAATTCTTGGTTGAAACCAAAAATGAGGAAACCACGGCTGAAAAACCGAAAGAAATTATTCCACCAATTATTAGTACCACTGTATTCATGTCTATGACTGTGAACTAGACCTCAATAACATCAAGGCACTGCACCTGCACAGAACCAGGACCAGGTAAACCAAGACACTGGGACAGTAACTACAGTGGGGACCAGTTTGTTTAGGTACCGTACCACCACTGTCCCAGCCCAGACCCAGTGTTTCAAAGAAAAAAAAAACAACAACAAACTGATGAAAATGCTTATTTAGCATAAAATCAAACAAATGATACGGTAGGATGCTGAAAGACTGTCAGATTAAATACGTTCTCTCATAACAACAGTAGAACTACTGGGAGAACTCTGGTCTGTTTGGGTCCAGCATGTAGTAAGTTCTGTTGGAACTGTTTTATTGGTGTTCTGAACCGATCTTACACAGACAGACCATTCTTCTGTCTTGGATCGAGACAACACTCTCTGGTTTTTGAGTGAAATTCCAACTTGACAGGAAATGATCTGACACTTCCTGTGGGTCTTAACCAATCATCATCAAGGAGGTAATAAATATGACATTTGTGTTAAAAACCCGGATCATTTCTTTTATGCTCTTTACTTCTCTTTCTGTTGGTCCAGCTGCTTCAACACCAGGTTGCCATGACAACCATTTCAACATAACTGCGTTGCTCCCTCTGATCCACTGATCCAAGACAGCAGCTACATGGACAAATGTCCTGGAAGACCCCCACAGGCTGCTGGGACATATGTCTGCCATATGCCCACTCACACTCACCCACACCCACTCTGACACTCTGACATAAAGAAGAAGAACCAACACAGGCTGTTGAAGGAAAGTCTGAAGGAGAACCTCAAACAGAATCACATGACAGAGAGGAATCAAAATTATCAAAAATACCAGTGCTGCATGGGGGGGTTAGGGGAGGGGGGGGACTTCACTGTTGTCCACTGGTTTTTTCCACCTCACTGGAGTCTGTGAGCTCTGCTCTCTCCGAGTTCTGGTAGAAACTAAAGGACAGACACTGTGTCCACTGTGACGCAGGGAGTGTTGAGGCCAGGTCATGTGACCACATCAGCCACAGTGGTTAGAGAGTATTTTTAAAAAAGCCAGAATCAAACGAATTAGCGAGATGTGACCTCTGACCTCCTGTGTTTCCTGGACAAACGTGCACTGCAGTGTCAGTGTCGGTGTCATACCAGATGAAGTCGGTGCAGTGGCTGCAGAAGGTGGGCTGTTTGAAGAAGCGGGCCATGAACTGGTGGTCCTTCACCTCAACAATCCTCTTGTGTTTCAGAGCTCCCCTCCTCTGGAACACAGGAACCCTGGGTGGAGGGGAGAGGGGCGAGGGCAAAGGGGAGGCACTGGTGGAGTTGGCTGATGTAGGGGAAGAAAGGGTGAGTGGAGAGAGAGAAGGTGAAGGGGAGACGGGAGTAGACATACTGCTGGGATCAAAGAGTCAAGAGAGACAGAGAGAGACAGAGAGCGACAGAGAGACAGAGAGAGAGAGAGGATGAGAGTTGGTCAGCAGGTGAGGAGGGAGGGAGGATTCAAGGGAAGCTGGGAGGAGAGGAGGGAAGACAAGTGTAAGTCAGAGTGGATGGACCAGGAGGTCAGTCTGAGGAGAACCAGCTGGACCTGGTCCAGTTCCAGACCTCAGGCTGAACCAACACACACAGAAACCAACAAAATACACACTGGTAATACACACTGGTATTACACACTGTTATATTGAGAAATGTTTCTTTTCTCTGCCACTTCACACCTGCAGGAAAGAAACTCTGGCTGTCAAACAATTTCTGACCGATCACTCACCTGTTGTTGTTGGAAACTAAGAAAATGGGTGAGAAAAAGACAAGAGGCTGCAGATGAAGAAGAACCGACCTGACAAAAACAAAACAAAAGAAAAAACATCCAAAGAACAAGGAGGAACGTGGTACCGATCCAAAAAGACAGGGACCGGGTGAGGAGGAGGAGGAGGAGGACAAACACAGAGGTCTCTTTCTAAGATCCAGTGAGTTTTTACACACACAGAGAGAGAGAGAGAGAGAGAGAGAGAGAGAGAGAGAGAGGAATAGGTGGCAACACATTTTAAATCTGGGTTAGCTCTCTCAGAGGAGAGGGTGAGGGAGGTGGTGGAAGGAGGGCAGATCCCAGAGAAGCTGCCATTTTGCCGTTGCCCGTAGCCTACAGGACAGACCAGTGGGCACCAACTGTCACCCACGTCTTCCTCACACAGATGAGAGGGAGGGGGAGGAAAAAGGGGGAGGAAAGGGGGGAAGGGGGAGACTTTTTTGAGTGGATGTGAGACGTAGACAAACAGGAGTGAAACAAACATTTGTATGTTCACTAACATCATGTGCCTCACACTTCATCCCAGTAGGTGGCAGTAAAGTACCTCAGGTTGGTTTGCCAGCTGCAACAAAAATACTGCATTTTTTTCAAACACATACAGGTTGAAGTATTTTCATGTGCGCTGCAGTGTAGATTACAGTGTACAGTGCAGTACAGTGAAGTATTTGGTTCGGTACTGATGACAGGGTTCTGTACTGCGAGTACTTGGTTGTTGTGTAGTATTAGTGAAGTATTGCTGAAAATGTGATTAATAGTTTTGAATTAACTGCATGGCCTGTAATTAATTAGATGATTTTTAATCACCTCCAGGAACTCAGTGCAGACTTCCTGTCCGTGGATAAAAGGACAGGAAGTGATCACATTATGTGATCGTTAACATCAAGGACGGAGGCGTCGGTCATTCACGAACCTCATACCCTACTTTTAAATCTTTTTCAGGGTCACGGAGAGAGAGAGAGAGCACCACTGGGTCACTCACATAAAAAAAAACATTCACACTCTCATTCACAGCTACAGTCAAGTTAGTGTGAACAACTGACCTTTTGGACTGTGGAGGAAACCACCTGAAAATGCAAAGAGAAAGATTATCAGGGATTGAACCTGTGACCTTGTTGCTGTAAGGTCAGAGCACTGACCACCCCTCCACCGACCTGTTTATATGTCAATAAATAGATAGAACTTTATTAAAATCCCTTCAGGAAACGTAGAGTTGTGAGACCGGAGGAAGTTCTGGTTCTGACAGCTCTGCTCCAGTGTGCTGTGAAAACAGGTCAGCGGTCCACAGGGAGGAGACAGGATGTTTGTCCACTTCCTGCTGCTCACAGACCGTCAAGGACACACACAGGTTTAATTTTTTCACATGAACTCCACAGCAGTTCTTAAAGAACAGTGTGTCAGTGATGTGACTGCGTCGACTGACCATCCCATAATAACCCTTCATGTCAATCCAGTGTGAATGGACCAGCAGTTATGGTCAACAGCTCCAGATTTAGTTTTAGCTGTGGACCCTGTTATCTGGCTTTACTGCCCCCTACAGGGTGTGCTAAAGTGTGTGCATTAGTGCTCCTGGTTACAGTGGCTCTGACCAGTTAATCCACTGAACAGGTTCAAATCCCTGCCTTGCTAATGTGATGTTGCGGGAAGTGATAAAATAGTGTGAGACCCTCACTAGTGTGTGTGTGTGTGTGTGTGTGTGTGTGTGTACTAACCTCAGCAGCAAAGACTCGACAGCGACCAATTAGTGAGCCCCAGTGGTTCAGGAAGACAAGGTATCTGTAGGGGGAG